GATAGTAGTTGGATTCCATTACATTTTCCTGCGGCTTGCAGCAAGTGTGTGTTCACTGGGCAGAATCCGGAAAGTGTCTATTGACTAGAAAGGTTTGCAGTGGGTCCTAGGATTTACTGCACGGGACACAGTGGGAAAAGTTCCAGGAAGAGAGATAGTATGTACCCACAGGTGGGAACCAGTGAGGGGACACTTGGAAATTTAGAAGTAGTCAACAGAGCTGGGGCAGACGGCACCCACAGAGCGGCAGGAGCAAGCACGGGCGATGTTGATGCAATCATTGGCTTGTCCACAAACTCTTCTTGCTTGGTTGAATTTTGTCATTCAGTTATCAGAAAGCCACCAAAGATTGTGAACAAGGAATTAATGTGATCTGATCTCAGTGAGCAAGGTGAACGGAAGGTGGGGAGTCATAAGAGCAAATGAAGCCAGTCTAATGATCCAGATGGGCGAATCATGACGTCCGTTGTAACTCAGGGAGTGGCAAAGAGGATGGAGAGAGAGGGTACGATTGAAAAGTGGTTTAGAACGCTGACAACGGGGCCGTGTGATGGCTCAGAGTTCAGATATTCAGGACTCACCTACAAACCAGGTCGGCCAGTCTGTAATCCCAGTGCCCAAGAGGCAAAGGCGGGGATCTGCAGAGCAAGGGGGCTGGTTGGACTAGCTGAATTTGTGAGCTCCGGGCTTAGCAAGAGACCCTGCCTCCACACACAAAGCAAGAGAGGAAGGCACTTGGCATCAGATACTGTGACATATTATAACCTGGGGCTCCTCCACATTTATTATAAATGTTAAACGTTTGACAAATATTTGGCTAATCGACTCAGTATACTAACTTCTCGTGGAAGCCAGATTGAAGAAGAGCTAGCAGACGGAAGGAAGATGGGGCTAGGAACTAACTCACATAATCCTGTACAAAGGAAGCCCATTCGTTTTAAGAAAGTAACCCCTCCTCTTACAGGGGAAGAGATGATGCAGAAGGAAGAAATTTTGGAGGTATTCGTTATGGATACTTAACAATTTGAAGGCTTCACATAAAAGTGCAGGTATCAGGATTCTCTTGAAAACTAAAAAGCAGAAAAACAGACAACTTGAGATCTGTGGTCAAAATATCAATGGCCGTTGGCACTGAGTAACAGCAGCTGTCCCGTCTCAGACGCACCTCAGGACCCTGCAGCCCCACTGATCACCCTTCCTTGTCCCCACGGTCTGTCAGCCCCTCCTCTGCACTTCCCACGCCGCAGTCAGACCACTGTTTCCACAACGGGAGTCAAGATTATGACATTCTCCACAAAGCCCTGGGTGTCCCAAGGCTGCCTTCCCTGAAACAGGCTCCAGGACTGTGCGTTACCTCATCCTGCTAGCACTCCTGGCTAATCTGGGGATCACTATCCCTCACTCCACATCTCCATCATAGAGGGCTCCCCTCAGCCTCTCTAGCACAAATGTTACATCTCATGTAGGCTAGCACATGCACCATCCCCGGGCTTCTCCCTCACCCACTGGACACAACTTAGTGTTCTCACTCAGAGGGACGATGCCGTTTAAAAACAAATTTGGATTCCTTCCTAATACTAACCATACATATCCTAAGGGCTATTTTCAAAGTCCTTCTCTCTCTCACTGGATTGTAAGAACAGGGTCTGTCTTCTCATTGCCCAGTGCATAAGATATATGTATACATACATATATATAAAACATATACATACATATACACACACACACACACACACGCATGTGTTTAAGGAGCAGATGGGGCTGGGGAACTGGTTTAGTGGGTAAAGTACTTTGTTGCGAACCCCTGAATTTGGATTCCCAGAACCCACCTAAAACACCGGGCATCAGTGTCGCTTGGTAAACACCCGGGGTGGTGAGGCAGAAGGCAGAGATAGGGAGAGCCTCAGAAGGAAGACCCTGGAACACACTGGCCAGCTAGCTCGGTCTGCTTGGCAGAGGTACAAGACAATGAGAGGCCTGATCTTAAATAAAAGGTGAAATGTGCCTAAGAAGAAAAGACACTCAAGGTTGTCCTGTGAATTGCGTACATGCATCTCCACGTCTGTGCACACACATGAGTAGATATGAAGACTGAGTTCTTTAGGGAACCCACATTTCAGCCAGCGAATAACAATTTGGAATACTAGGGCTTTATATTTATTTATTTATTTTTTCTTGAGACAGGGTTTCTCTAAGTAGTCCTGGCCATCCTGGAACTCGCTTTGAAGATCAGGCTAGCCCTGAACTCACAGGTTTCTGCCTGACTCTGCCTCTCAAGTGCTGAGATTAAGGGTGTGCACCACTACACCTGGCTTTAATAATGTTTTATGCGATTCTACATTTGTGTTATAAAGCAAAGCATGGCTGTCATGTGATTTAGCATGAGATAAGGCAGTCAAGGCACCTGGGGAGAAGAATCGAAAGAGGTACTCACTCCAGTAGCACTTGTCTCACCCAGTAGTCCTGGCTGGGGAGGGAAGCCTTTGCTAAAGCCCTGAATTTAACCGGAGGGTTCTAGTAAAGGGAGATTAAGATCCCCACTGCCACTGGTCGGTGATGGCACATGCCTTTAATCCCAGCACTCAGGAGGCAGAGGCAGGCGCATCTCTGTGAGTTTGAGGCCAGCCTGGGCTACAGAGTGAGTTCCAGGACAGGCTCCGAAGCTACACAGAGAAACCCTGTCAAACCCCTCCCCCCAAAAAAAGATCCTCTCTGCTGAACACTCACAGTGCATGGAGGTAAAGGCCACAGAGATCAGTACTGTTAAGGGAGCCTAAGACAAAGAGAGCGGAGGAAGCAGGAGAAACCCCTTCTGCTGAGACTGCGAGTCCGGGAGGCGGAATTTTAGCTCTTGCAATAACAACTCACTCAACAGACTGTACAAAATGTTGGTTCAGGGAAACAGTGAGAGGCAGTCAGCGCCAGCCACTGAAAGGCAGAAAAGATGTGAGCAAGGAAGAAGAATGTCCAGAGGATGGATGAGGAAGCCCATGTGCTGGGCTGATATCCTGTAGGAATAGCCAGACTGGGACTTAATTACTCATGGTTTGCTTCTTCCGAGATGCTCAATATTGCTTCCCACAGAAGAAGCACCGCACACATTAGACAGCGTTACTACCCCTGTCCATTTCGGAGAGCCGAGTTGACCTTTACCATGCTGATAACCCTGCTGCTCTGAGCCAGTGGCATCTTTTTCTCATGCCAGTAACACGGTACCAAAGTTCTTCGGAGTAGGTGTGTGCAAGTAGGCCACACAGTCGGTCAGTCTGTCGCTGTCTCTTCTTGCTTGTCTGACAGCTGCTTCCTGGATAGTCTGGCCAAATTTAGACAACAAAATGATGTTGTGCTGTGAACTCAAGATTCATTTATTTTTAGGGTACCCATTTTCGTCATGTGCTCTGTATTTATTGTAAAAAAAAAATTACAAGTATTAGTAATCAATACAAACTGTGTAGAAAAACTATCTGTGACTCTTTGGGTAAGTCGTCTAGGGGTGGGGTGTAGTTCAGGTGGCAAAGTGCTCACTCAGCGTACACAAAGCCCTACAAAAGGTAGGTGTTAGTAGACATGCTTGTAATCTTAGCACCTGAGAGATGGAGGCAAGAGGTAGGAGATTCAAGGTTATTTTTAACTATCTAGTGAGTTCAAGGCCATCTTGGGATACCCTTTCTTTAAAAAAAAAAAGTAGAGAGGTCTTCTAAATGTTTTAATAAAATGTCTCACCATTTTTTTTCTATAGGAGTGAATATTTGTATTTTTCTTATGTCTTTTACATATTTAACATCTTTTCACATCAGTAAGTGCAGATTGACATCATTTGGGGGCATCTTGTCGTAAACAAAGATGAGCTACAGTTTAACATCTCTTGCTGGCCACTTGCTCTTCCCTGTAACACACGAACCCTTGTACACCTATCGGGTTATTTCTTTAAGATTAACTGCTAAAAGTGAAATGGCTGGTTTAAAAGATGTAATCATCTTTAAGATTTCAACACGCTAGACTAAACCGCTCTCCAGAACTATTGCACCAACTAGACCTCCCTCCAGACGCACAGGGATGGGCCAATTTCTTCATGCCTTCACCAACGTAGACAGGGTATGTCTGTTTCTTGGACTTTATATGTCAGGCACAAATAAAGTAAAATAAAACATGCAGGGAGAGTGAGGATAATAGGGAAGACGGTATTATAGGCTGGTGAGCTGAGACTGCAGTCCACAGGTGCTCTGAACACCAGAGCCTGAGTGTCATGGTCATCTTAAGCGGATGCCATTCGAGACTTGCGGGGATAGGTTAATTATAAGGGTAGCTTTTTTTTTTTTTTTTTTTTTTTTGGTTTTTGAGACAGGGTTTCTATGTGTAGTTTTGCGCCTTTCCTGGAACTCGCTTTGTAGACCAGGCTGGCCTCGAACTCACAGAGATCCGCCTGCCTCTGCCTCCCGAGTGCTGGGATTAAAGGCGTGCACCACCACCGCCTGGCTTTTTTTTTTTTTTTTGGTTTATAAGGGTAGCTTTGCAGGGTCACCAGGGATGAACTGAGTAAGCAGGAACAGAGTGAAAGAATGATCTGGATGAAGAAGTGGTCCCACGCATGAATGTTTGTTGTTTCAAGAACACCAGACTGAAGGGGCACGCTGGAAGGGAAGCTGGGCAGGAGACACAGGCTGGCACTGAAACCGGCAGCTGGTTCTCTCTCATCAAGACGTGCTCTCTGGGCTAAGTCCAGGACTTTTAACTTTACTTGGAAAAGCAGGTGAAGATGACAAGGAAAACTCCTTTGGGAGGCAGGAGTTGGCATCCAAACCTGTGTGTCGATGCTGATACTGGAGTTGAGACTTTTTTTTTTCATTTCTGTTGATTTGGGAAGCCCTGAACCTCTATGTCTGATAGGATAAAGGAGACCACCCAGAGCCCTTCCAGCTTTAAATACCAATTTTCTCATCAAAACCAAACCAAACAACAACAACAAAAAATCTTTAACTCTTTTCCTTTTTTCTTTCCAGAAAAGGTGGCCATTAAGATTCTGGACAAGACCAAGTTAGACCAGAAAACCCAAAGGCTGCTATCCAGAGAGATTTCCAGCATGGAAAAACTGCACCATCCCAACATCATCCGCCTTTACGAAGTCGTGGAGACCCTGTCCAAACTCCACCTGGTGATGGAGTATGCAGGAGGTGGGGAGCTCTTTGGGAAAATTAGCACTGAGGGGAAGCTTCCTGAACCAGAAAGCAAGCTCATCTTCTCCCAGATCGTGTCCGCTGTGAAGCACATGGTAAGCACGGGCTCCCACTCCGCAGGCCTGGGGAACATGGGACTTGGGTTTGTTATCACATACACATCCCAGAGAAGGTTGGCTTTGCAATAGCAGACAGTTGGCCCCTTCTGTAAGCGTCAGAAGTTTGGCTGGGACCAGTGTCCTTGCCTCCAAAGCCACATCCAGGATCTTGGTACACAGCAGGCCCGTGGCTTCTCCAGAAGTTGATGGGAGCCACTCAGAGAAGCCAGATGGACGTCCTTCATTTATGGTCCACTCATTGTTCCAAACCCACGTTCTACCTCCCAGATAACTCGTCACCTCTCCTTGGCCCTTCTTTCCTGTACTGCCTTTACACCTCATCTCATACCTCACATTTCAGTCCTATCCACACGTGGTGACCAGCCCAGTGCCTCTCTCCCTTTCTGAAATTTGCCTCAGTCTCAGGCCAGCTAACACCAAGTTTTCTCATCTTCACTGACCGACACCCATTCTACCCCTCGCCCAGTTCTCGCTGCCTCTGTGTCTCAGGTCGTAACGCTCAGTTAAGTCATCCTTCAGCTCTCCAGGGATTTCTTTATAAAGCTGGATTTTTGTGACACACACTGCTTAACTCATCCAAGAACTGGTCCTTTTGTGGGCTCGCTGGGGTCAGCCATATGCTGGGCACACAGAAGGAACTTGACTTGTGCACTTAACTACCAGATATCAAGTAGGAGAGCAGCAGACACTCCAGCAGAGTACAGATGTGGGTCCACGGAAGCCCTGTGTCCTGCCATTTCTCCCTGCAGTCTGGCCTCTGAAAAGAGAAAGGCTGAGCTGCTGTCATAGATTTCACTGAAATTGTTTGTGTGCAAGGACCACGCTGAGCACTGCCCACACAGCATCCTATATAATTCTCATAGCAGCCTTATGAGGTAAGTGTCAGCGTCTTAGTTTATGAAGGAGTGCTGTTAATTTGTCCAGCTCTATCTTACAAAGCCTATGTTGTTACCCCGAGGGCTCACTGGGACAAATGGCATTAAACCTTTACCCAAGCCTTTAAAATTAACTAGGTCAAAGTTCCCAGGACTATTGGCTAAATTTAGAGTGCAGGGGCAGGGCAGGAAGGAACGTGTACTCACAACACATAGTAAGAAATCTGTTGCAAGAAACCTGCCAAATTCAACCTCCTCCTTTTTGCTAAATTACATGAGCCCACCCAAAGGAGTATGGCCAGGAGGTTGGAGCAGGTCCCCAAGACCCCCTGCTCTTGGTCTCAGTCAAGGGAAAACTCAGAAGAACCAGGTAAGACCTCAAAAAGGAAGGCTTGTTATTTGATTGTGTTTCAGAATTGTGCAGTTGCACAAGACCTGGGTCCTTGTCTGGCATGAATTCCAGAGTCTGTGTGGCACAAATTCCCATCCTCACCCCATGGAAGATGCAAACCTTTGGTCTACTCGTGGGGGTGAAGGCATTGCACTGGGTTAAAGGCTGTGGTAGAGTTTGCTAATGTGATTTAAGTTGTTTGTATTGAATTTCTGTGGCTATGCCGCCATCATCACCCACTTCTCTGTTGCAGAGAAACAGCTCTATTTTCCATTTTATCATTTGCCTTAAAAGTGACTGTCCCAAATGTTTTCTCCACAGCATGAAAACCAAATTATCCACAGAGATCTGAAAGCAGAAAATGTATTTTATACCAGTAGCACGTGCGTGAAGGTGGGGGATTTTGGATTCAGCACGGTAAGTAAAAAAGGCGAAATGCTGAACACCTTCTGCGGGTCTCCGCCCTACGCCGCACCTGAACTTTTCCGAGATGAACACTATGTTGGTGTTTATGTGGATATCTGGGCCTTGGGGGTCCTTTTGTACTTCATGGTGACTGGCACAATGCCATTTCGAGCAGAAACCGTGGCCAAACTAAAGAAGAGCATCCTTGAGGGTACCTACAGCATACCCCAGCATGTCTCAGAGCCCTGCCACAGGCTCATCCGAGGAGTCCTTCAGCCCATACCCACAGAGAGGTATGGGATCAGCTACATCATGAACAATGAGTGGATGCGTGGGGTGCCCTACCCCACCCCTTTGGAGCCTTTCCAACTGGATCCTAAACATTTGTCAGAAACCAGCACCCTCAAAGAAGAAGAAAATGAGGTGAAGAGTACTTTAGAACATTTGGGGATTACAGATGAGCATATCCGGAATAACCAAGGGAGAGATGCTCGAAGCTCCATCACCGGGGTCTACAGAATCATTTTACATCGAGTGCAAAGGAAAAAGGCTTTGGAAAGTGTGCCAATAATGATACTACCAGAACCTAAAGAAAGGGACCTAAAGAAAGGGTCCCGTATCTACAGAGGCATCAGACACACATCTAAATTCTGTTCGATTTTATAAATTATATCAGGCAGCTGGTAACTAACCATGAACAAAGTTTCTGCTTTTAACTTTTCTCGTAGACAACTTGGATGGAAACATTTTTGTAATTTTTAAATAAAATTTAAATTTGAGATAATCATGCCACCCCGTCCCCAACCAAAGTCTCTTAGCCTGGATTCTGGCTTGACTTGGGAGTTTTGTTTTCTTGGGAGAATATTTTCAGCATTCATTTATTTAACGGAGAAATACATGTCATTAGCACTGTTTCAGGTGCGGAGGAAACAGCCAAATCAGTCCCTTTCTCTTGCGTGTCGGAAATTCTAATATGCAACATATACACTTGCTAGCAACTATTTTTGTTTTTAAGAGGAAAATGACAAAGAGTGGGAGATGCCATGCAGACTCCTCACAGGACTGTCTCATTTTAGAAGCACGCCACTTTGGGGTAGACCTTTAAGGAGGGCCACTTTGAGTGAATGACAGCGTGAGAGCTGAAGGAGTAGCCGCAGTGACTTGAAAAGGGCAAAGATTGTGCCCAATAGCCAGGAATGTAAATTAGATCCCTCCGAACAGAACTGATGACGAAGGCTTTTTCATGTAGTTTATTTGGAAGGTGACCCGACAGCAGAGTCGTGAGGGACAGAGGTACAGTAATAGCTAACACAAAGACGTTACCAGAGTTGGCCAGTGGTAGAGGTGACTGCGGTTCACTCCCAAGGACCTTGAGAAGCATTGTGTGCATCGTATCTCAAGGGTCTGCCCAAGGTATGGAAGGGGAAAGATAGATCAGCCGTCATTCACCTTTGGGCAAGGGTGGTCAGTGGCATCACCTGCCCTCCACATTTCCAGATAATGCTGTGTGAGTACCAAGTGGTTTCTTTGTACGTCTCAGGCCTCTGCACCACAGAAGCATTAGAGCAGGAAGGAAAAGGTCACAGCATTGGCGTGAGGCAGCGGGACTGCCAAACACGATCGGTAAGAACCTCTTCATCTTGCATGGGAATGGTTACTGCATCAGTGGCTGGAGGAGGCAGCATGGCCGGGAGGGCCTGAAGTGGTGCACAGATGCTAACACAGCCTATCTGGATGCCCTGCTTCACAGGAATCCCTCTGTTGAATACAGTCCTGGGAGTGGGTGGTAGCTGGAGGACTCAACACAACGGTTGTGAGAGCTGTAATGAAGGTTCTCAGACTCCAGCCAGCAGGATTACTTACTTTGTTTGCCCAGACCAGCAGGTCCCACCTCCAGGCCTTTAGATTCAGTGGATCCTGGGGTGGGCAAGAGCTTTAACAATCAGTGACTTAAAAGTTTGGTGTTCTTTCCAACAACCTAGGCTGAAGTAGATGAACGGTTTGGGTTGCCAAGGGACAAGGAGGATGTTTTCACGAGGAGCCCCAATAAGGGCGCTTGTGAACTAGAATCTATGACTAGCATGGCCTGTAGTTAGTCCTTGACACGGCGTTAAGAGATTTGAACAACGTTCCAGGTGACGCTGATGCTGTTAGTTAGGGGCCAAGTTTTGAGGCTCTCTGAGCTACAGTCATTACTGCATCCGGTCTGGAGGCTCTAACTGGGCTCTTCACTCCTTCCATCAGCTACCCTGACTTTTCCTCACATTTGACCAGCATTTCAACTGGTTTATGCCATGAAAGGATTCCAGTCCTCACTTGCCTTATCCTTGGTAGACCATAATAGCTGTCATTGCCTGCTCACAATACCATCATTGGTTCCAAGAGTAATGCACCAGCATCTTTTGGGCTCCCAATGCCTTCTTTAGCTCCTTATAATACTTTAGAGTCAATTATCCTCATCAATATAACAATTCCATTTTTATCCTGCTTGCCCACTGGCATGGGTAGCCTAAATGACCCTTATTGGGGTTCCTAGTGAAAACATCCTCCTTGCTCCCTGGGAACCCAAACTGCTCATCTCCTTCAGACTAGGTTGTTGGAAGGAATACAAAACCTTTAAGTCACTGGTTGTGAAATGAGTCTCTCCCTTCCAGCCTCTGGTTCCCACACCTGTGAATTTGAATGGCAAAGGACATATAAGCCATTATTAAAGCAGTACACCAACCCTTCAGGTTACTAATAGATCTGGGCCTTAGGCCACTCAGGTTCTGTTTGCAGCTTTGAGGGCTAGGGTAGTGCAAGAGGATTCTGTAGTCCTTGACACAGTGTTATCAGATATGACAATGACTCAAGTATGCTCCAGGACAGCGGTTCTCAACTTGTGGGCTGTGACTCCTTTGAAAGGGTCCAATGACCCTTACACGGGGGTTGCTTGCCTAGCACCATCAGAAAACACAGATATTTACATTATGATTCATAACAGTAGCAAAATTACAATTGTGAAAATAATATTATGGTTGGGGATCCCCCACAGCATGAGGAACTGTATTAAAGGGTCCCAGCATTAGGAAGGGTGAGAACCACTGCTCTAGGATCTAGCATGAGTGTTTGGATGACACACTGCGGGCAGGAAATGCACACCCATAGACTGAGCAGGTATTTCCAATGAGGATGAATTGCTGCTATGTGTATTCGAGTTGATGACTGTGGATCTGGCTAATGTCCAGATCACAACTTGGTGGTCCTGCTTGCTTGCCACCCAGTGCATTTTGGATGGCTTTCATGAAGGCATCATCCTTGGGATGTTTGTTCAGTCTTGCATTAATGAATCCAAACATTCATATCTCATGGAGTTTCTCAGAATTTCAATACTGTTCTAGGGTGGTTCCACCACGGCCACCTCATTTACCATTTGTCACAGTCAGAGTCCAAACCTCATAGCCACGTTGCAGAATACTAAGACCAGCTTAGATGGCCCCTCCGAAAGTCCTAGGTAAATGTTCTCACAATAAACTCTCCTATGGCCCATCTTATAGTCCCCTGCCTCCACCTTTCGTGACACACTTAAGATCCGCTTGCATATTTGCCCAAATTGACAGTATGTATTAGCCAGCTTCCGCAGTCCCGCCAGTGTCTACCATTTCCACATAGACAAGGGTTGTATTTCTCCACTTCGGCTGCGTTGAGACTTCACTTGGCTCTTGCTCTGGCAAACAATTGGAAACATCAGGACAGGATCTGGAGGCCAAGTGTCATTACACAGGGATCTGTCTCGGAAGTCCTGGCAGCGTCTGGACAAGGAGCTGTCCTTGCCCACCAGAGGAAACCAGTTTCGCAGCCTCCCCACCCTCACCTACTGTGCCCCGCCCCCCCTTTGCTTGAAGATCCGTCCCTCTGCCTTCCTCTCAAACCCTAACTTTCATAAAGGAGAATGTTGACAACTCAGCATTCTCCAACCCTCAGATGTTGGAGTTCCCCTTATGCGTGCTTTTAAAGACGTCCGACTTTTAGTATGCCTTTAATTGACGGGTGACTGACTTGGGGCTATCATTTTGTTGTTTCCCAGGCTTCCTAAGTAGGTAGTAAAAGCTGGTCAAACTCAGTGTTTATCTTGGGCCCCCATCTTGTTCAGGTAGCCACAGGATCCAATGCTTTGTCCTCCTCCTCCACCTACAGATGACAAGTCTTAGTAGTGATGGTTGATCCTGTGTGTCACATGTTTCCATAACCCTGCTTGCCACCACCACATTCATGTCCTCCGTGTTTCAACAATCCCTTTGCCTGGGAGATTCTAGCCAGCCTCTTACTTCTCACGGAAAAGTGTGTGGGAACAAGGTGATGCCACAGGAATCCACAAGCCTCGGTGTTGGTGAAGAGTGCTTGTTCCTGATAAAAGAACTAGCTAGCACCCAGCTTTAGGAAAAAGCCTGATAAATTTGTAATCCTTTTCATCAAATTGATGCCTTAACAGAAATAATTATGCACAAAGAATCTCAGGTCAACGAATGCTTCCTGCAATCAAGGACAAAACAAAACAGAAAAACAGAGGAACCTTAAACTTAAGAGCAGCCCTTCGCCGGGCGGTGGTGGCACACGCCTTTAATCCCAGCACTCGGGAGGCAGAGGCAGGCGGATCTCTGTGAGTTCGAGGCCAGCCTGGACTACCAAGTGAGTTCCAGGAAAGGCACAAAGCTACACAGAGAAACCCTGTCTCAACCACCCCCCCACAAAAAAAAGAGCAGCCCTTCAAAAGTCTGAAAGAAATTTATTTTGACATTAAGATCAAATGATTTCTGCTGGCACAGTGGTACATGCCTGTAATCCCAGCATTTAGGAGGTGGGCCAGGGGAATCAGGAGTTCAAAGCTAGCTTACATGAGAAGAAACTTAATGTCTTGAAGAAAACAAAAATAAAATATTTTAAAATGAAAGATCCTGCTACCATCTTTGCTACACCAACTTCTGTCTCTGTTTTCAGAAGACTCCCAAGTAGCAGACAATAAATGGACTTCCAGTTAGGTCACAGGAGGATCACAAGTAACTTTTTCTATCTAGTGTGAAGCCCAAACTTGAATGTTTGTAAAATTAAAAATCCAGAAACCTCCCCCCCCCCCCCAAAAAAAAAACAACAAAGCAGATTCCCCACAGGACACGGAGAGGTATAGTTCTTAGGATCCTAGACTATGTAAGAAAAGTGACCTGAGAACACTGGACTCTAACTCAGAGTGCTAGGACACTGGGCCAGAAAATAAAGTATTAATATTTACTGAATCTAGATCCAAACTGATAACCTGAGCTGTCCCGTACTAGAAAATAATCAGCTGTGTTTCCTAATTCAGAGAGTCCTAGAAGGGGCGATAAGACTACACGCGGGCAACACTGTATTTCTGGCATACGCAGAGTGCATTGCTTACCAGGTTGGGAAATGTTTGAAGAATAAGCAAATGAGTGATGACGAACTTAAGGCTCACATTTAAAAATAGCTTTTTGCTGACTCCATGCCCCAACTGTTGGTTCAAAGAAGAAAAGAACACACAAATATCTGAAATATTGTCTAAAACTTTATTTCAAAGTTATCCATCTCGCTATGAGTAAGCTGTGTGGTTAATGCTCCGTGCCAAAATCGCCAGGCTTGCCCATTGCCGGCAATGGACTCTGAGAAAACCCACTTCTTGGCACCCAAACATTAAATTACTCTTTTCCAAACATACAGAACTCTCAATACTTGCGAAAGAATTACATGCACCACTTCCCCACCATTCTTTAAATCTGAACTTACATTATTCTTCTATAGCAGTGGATGTTAAAATGAAATCATCTTAACCAATTAAAACTGTACAAATCAAAATCCTACTGGTTAATAGTGACAATATTTTACAAATGCTACATTACATATTACTTTGCAATCTGAAACATCACACATTTATGTGTTTATTTTAGATAACTGAAACTTCACAGAATCGAACAGCAAATAAAGTTAAAAAAATTTAGTTCTGTACATTAGTTCCAACTATCTCTATTTTACAGTCTATGAGGCTCATGTCATTGTTCAGCACCAAAATCACCCAGAGAACTTTCTAATGAATTTTCTTATTCATCTCTTGTGGTAGTTTTTTGTTGTTTTAAAAGTGAAAGTTAAGGAAAAAATGTTGTGAGTTCTACTTCTAGATCTTGAAGAGAATATTTCTTTTGGCTGGTCAGACTATGTGAAATTTTCACTATGTGAAAATGTGGGTTATATTTTCTTATTTTCATTGGACAGATAAAAAAACAAACAAAACACAGAAATACACAAACCACACAGAAAAAAATGTGTCTGGTGAACTTAAGCTGTCAGCCTATAAACTGGACCTGTAACACTGTGACCTAATAATGCCCTGCCCCATCCCTCCTACTGGACATCTGATCCTTGCCAGGAGGGGCTTAGGACTGCAGCAAGCTCCCTCACACCAGCCACCAGGAACCGGCTGGACCCAGTTCCCCAGCTGTGTCCACAGCGCCCAGGTGAACCTGGGCTGTGGCAGAGGCCTGCTCAGAGCCAGCATCCTTTTGCTCACGTGATCACGGCTAACCTTTCTCACTGATGCTTCCTCCAGATCCTAGGACTTGTCTCTCTTCAGGATTTACAAGTCTTCGAAAAAGATAGCATTTGCCTTGCCATTTTCAAGCAGGGTTTGTGCGTAACATTTAAATTCCACAATCCCCAACCTAGAAAAGTTTTTCAAAAGCTACAGGTACTTTTATTTGTTAAAGTATAAAATTCTTACACAATAAAAAAAAAAAAAAAAAAAACACCCAATTTTTCAAATTGGATACTAGTACCTCTGCTCGTCGACAGAAGCACTCAGTTCATGCCATGTTTGAAAACTCAACTGCATGCATATAAACGTCCAGAGAGGTATAAAGTTTACAGAGCCTTTAACATCATTGCAGTACATTCACCACTGGCCAGACCACAACAGGAAGCGTGTTAGCAAGTTCAGCAAAGACTTCTCCAAGAACACAACAGTTTTCTAGGCTCTGTGTCAGTTACATGACATTTTAAGCAACATGTAATCTTTAAAATTGTCCCCAGACATCCAATTCTCCAACTGTTCCCATTCCCCAGCCCAGCCCAAAGCCACTGTGAGGCCTCACACCCCACAAAGCTCTTAGTGTTCCCCGTTAGTAATGACAGCTGACTCCGATTCTGTTGCTGTTGCAGGGAGTCTTGGCACTTTCTTAGCAGGGCTTGGGATATGCTAAAACGAAAAGAAAACAGTTGTTGGCTTTTACAATTTTTCCACTAAGACTCATAGGACTAATTAAAGCACCTACAGAGAACCTAGTAAAGGACAAATTCAGAGAGGCTGACACATTCTATAAAGCTTTCCAAGGAGAAAGCTAAATACCCTGTCTAGACCTTACAGTGAGATGTTCGTGCAATTATTCATACAGTGAAGGAAGAGGGCCTCCCAAAACTTCGCTGTTAGAACTCAGACACTGTTAGAACTCAGACACACCCACTTGATGTGCCACCTGCTTGGTTTAACAGCAAGATTATACACTCACCAGAGCTGCAGCGAACAGGGGAAATTATTAATTCCCAGGTTCAAGTTCTTAGTTTGAACCTGGCTTTACCACTTGCTTCTATAATCCTGAGTGTTTAGACTTCTTGGGGCCTCACTTTGGAGTTAGGACCGTTCATAATCTCAAAGAGGGTAGTAAAAGGTTTGTGAGGATTATAAAAGGAAATGTAAGTAAAGTGCCTAGCACATAACCAGAATTCAAATCACAGCTCCCACTGTCATTTCTGAAAGTCTCAGAGAAATGAGGGGCTCAGCATCTTCCTCCTCCACAATGCTCACCAGCCCATAAGACACAAATGAGCCTTCTCTCCAAACCAAACTTCCCATCAGTCCTAGTACTTAATAAATCTAGTACTCATCATGTGCCTCCACAGCTGGAAATGGCACAGCTGGCCTCCGAGCCTAGAGCCCTTGCTCGGAATCACTCTGCTTTACTGACATTTCTTTAAGTTGCTGTATCTGTTAGGATGCTGAAACCCAGACTGGGAGCGTCGCCTATCCTGCCAAAGAGGAGGACCAAGCCAGTGAGGTTACCGACCTCCGTTGCTGTGCTCGAATGCACAAGTCCCACTCCTTCATCCAAACTGTGGCCGTTAGAGGAGGGGCGCCGAGCATAAGTCCGTCGGTGCTTTTCATCCACTCTAACTAGGTACCACGTTCCTTCAAAGAGCGAATCTAGTGAACACTGGGGAATATAGTTGGCTGAAAGGAAAGCAGGATACCAAAAATTACTCACGATAGGACCCGTCTGGAAACAAACTAAACAGAATTTTCCCGTTTCTCTACAATTTTTCCTGACATCCCATAGTACTGCTCCGAGCTGTACAGACTGTCTGTTTAACATGACTGCAGGTCTCCAACACAGTAGTTTACCTAAGTGATGTGTGTCCTCTCTGAGCTTCATGTTCTCAGCAAAGACATCTGGTGCCACACAAGTTCTTGAGTCGAGTCTTGATTTAAGATCACATAAACTTGCTGTGATTTTGTCAAGAGCAGACCCTAAGAGCAAGCAAGTTTAACATTCGATGACAGAGAATAGCATGTCTCAAAGAAACTTAATAAAATGTTGCCAAATGCAAATAACTTCTTGTCTCTTTTACCAACCAGACATTATTTAGTACCAGCTAGTCCACAAGTTAAATAACACAGGGTTTGAAACTATAAATAACTTTTCTATAGTCAATAATCCTTAGTATAATTTTCAATGATGCTAAGTTTCCCCTCAATATTTTTGTTCCTTCTTTCTCAAGGAAAGCACAAATATTTGCTTCAATACAGTCAAAACCACAGGGAAACCATTTGGTCTATCCGCTCTGAAGGCAGACTGGTAGGGTGGAGAGTATAATCTATGTGGAAAGAAGGTATGAAATTGAGAATGGAATGATCGACCAGAGTGGCTAATGTGCGTATCGGAGAAGGCTGCTCAGGCAACCTCACCACAGCGGGCTGGCAATGTGCTCTTGCTGAGACCCAGCACTGACCTGGTGTGGCATCTTGTGTGACTTTAAGGGAGTACAGGGTGGCAGCCAAGCCAGACCCATAGGAGAACACTCCGATCCTCTTCCCTGCCAACTGCTGAGGGGAGTACCTGCGTAAGGGAAAAAGGGCAAACTTAACAGATACAATCTCCACCTTGTCAGGAGCCACACGAGCAGTCCAGAGCTAAACACAAGAGCTAACAGGAAGCTTTCTTGTTTTCTTTCATACTTGGTCTGCCCACACAGGCTGGACTGGCACTAACAATCTTCCTGCCTCAGCCTCCTGCATGTTGGGATTACAGGTGTGTGCCACCATTCCCTGCTGAGTTTAATGTTCCTGAAGAGCTAAGAGTTTTATTTAATACTGCACTAAGGAATCTGACTTGAGGTTTTAGTATCAGAGCGCATACTCAGAACAAAAGTTTACATCTTTTAGGAAATGGGGCTTAGTAAAATTAAATAACCACACATAAATCCTCATCATTAAGGATTTGTGGTTCAATTGTGGGTGAAGAATAATAAAACTATGGAAACAAGGCCAAGAAAATACACAATTAACAGATACTCAAGGAAGAACAACAGCCTTAAACCATATGTCCTTCAAATCAGTAGACGGCAGCAGAGCAGACCTGAAGATAAAGTATCACTCAGAAAAGGGGAGTCAGGGAACAACCACTTATACTTACTGTGCCAGGAGAGAAGCAAGGGAACCGTATACGGAAGACGTGTACATATTTCCATTCTGATTTGAGACAAGCAAAGATGCCTTTGTTTTCTGGTTAAACAGCTCAGAACTAGCCTTCATAAATGCCTTCTCGACATCTCTGTCAAAGTAAGTATCTTCTAATTTAACGTCCCTGAAAGAGTATATTAAAACAGACAATTATATAGAATTTAAACACCATGCTTTTATTTTATTAGTATTTGTCCTAATTAATATTCAAATCTGTGAATATATAGGATTTTGTTTTGTCACTAATTAAAACTCAGGGAGCAACATCGTAATTGTATAAATGATGTTAGCCACTTGTACAGTCTTTGCCTAATGTTGCTATCATCAAGTAAAGACAACTTGATACCGTCAGGCTGACAGACTAACAGACACACTATAGATTTAGAGCCACTAAACACAGAAGTCTTTCAAATCCAGCCATGTCTATCAATGTAGTTTAAAAAGTCATGATATGAAAGGAATTAAGCCTTGAAAAGTCAAGTGGGAGTTCATCAAGTGGAGAAAGGGTGGAGAACAAGAATGAATCTCACAGGCACAGCACAGCGGAGTCTAAGCCATGAGGAGACCAACACTGGTAGACTGCAGGATGACCCCGGGTATGTGGACTACAGAGGAAGAGTTAATGGAGCTGTGGTAAGCACCGGAGTGTCTGTGAGACTGGAGCTCTTAAGAGATAACTAATGTATTTGTGTAGGTAAGCCAGCGACCACTTCTCCAGAGGTGGTGTTCACTGATAAGGTGACTATGTTAGAATAGAACACTGTTTGGTTTTGTTAAGACAGGATTTCTCTGTACAGCCCTGGCTGTTGTGCTGGCATTAAGGGTGTGCCACCACCACCCAGCTAGAATAGAATTCTTCTAACACCCTTTTGACTATAGTTTTCAGGTCTATACAGAGAAACACTTAAAATAAGCACAACAGCTTTCTTACCCAAAGGCTTCCAGGCCACTGTAAATACTGTTCTTATCTCTGTTCTGATCATTAAGAAAGTCATTCAGGAACATCCGAGCTAGAGATTTCTGCACCAGTTTACAATACGGTGAGTGAAAGATCATGAAGCCAAAATCATTCAGGGTAAAATCTTTATCGTTTCCCTCTGAAACAGAAGACAAGGAAACGATGGGATCCACAGAAGTCAGTTTGGCTTTAGAACAGGGTAGGGTGTTTCTATCTTTATTTACGTACTCATCTAAGAACTGAAACAAGTTTATGTTCTACACCACAAGAGAGAGGAGGCGATGGTAAAGAAGAGCTACTTGCCCCAACCCTTAAATAGCAACCCCAAATCCTGTCTCAGGAAATCTCTCAATGGTTTATTATGTGTATTTAAACAAGACACTCAGCTATGTATGACTTTATCACTGATTTTCAAATGTAAGAGTTATAACCTATGAGCAGATCAGTTGGATCAGCATGTCTTTCTGTTTTTAAGAATAGACAAAAATGGCCAGCTGCATGAACTTGCAGCACTGTTTCTGTTCAGCATACACACGTACACACACACACACGTACACACACACGTACACACACGTACACACACACACGTACACACACACACACACACACACACACACACACACACACACACACACACACACACACACACTGTGGGGTTCTAATCAAAAAGTTGAAATATCACGGCCTCTTAAAAACAAACTGAGAAGCCCTGAGACAGGAGGATCATGAGTTGAGGTCAGTCTAGGCTAGACAACCAGACTAGACCTCATGAAACACTCTTGTTGAATAATGACATTGAAAGTATACTCTTAAGTACAGTACAAACAGCATGCACTGTTCGATATTTAACTATAAAACAGCGTATTTTATATACCACTACGGTGCTTCTTTTCATGGCTACTACATTCCTCAATATTTGTTTTGAATATCATTTTTAACCCTCTCCTCTCTAAAAAGTCAAGTTGTAATATAAGGAAAAACTAACTTTAAACAGTTGCCTCTGAAAGAGAGTTGAAAAATAAAACTTATTTAAATACTTTTTTCAAAAAATTAACAAAGTTCAAATTTCTTCTGTAATGTAACTGATAAATCAACTTAAATTTTTGGAATAGCTCAGCAGAAATACTTATGTCTTTACCTAAATTACACGTTCCCATATTTAGTACACGAAGAAGCGGTAAAAGATATTAATGAAGGTTGTTAACAAAGGTTTCTCACTACAGTTACGCAGCACATTCTTGCACTGCCCTGGAGACACCAGAATCTAGTCTGAGAACATGGGTTGGAGGAAAGCCCACCTTTCTGCCACTGGGCGCGGATCTTTTTGCGGTAGACAGAGTAGCAGCGGTCCAACGCACTGAGGTAGCACTGTATGGAGAGCTTCCCGTCCACTACGGGGTATTCAGAGAGCATGTCAGGCTTGTAAAAGTCATAGGCGTGCTGCATGTGTGTCCCACGGAGCCCTATTGGAACCCAAACAGAAGATGCTGATACATGCCCGCTTCATGATGTCTGCACTTTAGTAGCACACTGCCTTATTTAAGGGCTCTCCTCAACCAATCTACCCACAGCAGTTCAATATAGGAAGTGTAAGTCGAAGGCATAATTAAATAAAACCTAGCGTACCATAGGCAGTTCCAAGGCTGCTGCAAGTTTCCTAAGTGAATCGACTAGGAAATGCTGCTGCTATGAACTTGGCAATGACTGTGGGCACATTACTGCTCTAGTTATTTCCTCAACTCTACCTTCTGGACAAAAACTCACAAAGATAAAGGGATGCACATAAAGCACTCGGCAGCCAATAAACAGTCAGCAAGTGGCAGCATCTACAACTATGTTCAAATTTCTCAGAATACTGTGTCCATACAACAAGTAAATATAAACCAATTTATATTTGGTGTCTGTGTCGTGTCTGTGTCTGTGTGTGAGCTAGGCCTGCTAGCACAGACCTGTGTATGTAGGTCTATATACCTGTGTAAAACCAGGTATTCAGAAGCCAAAAAGAGAGATCAAAGCTGCAGGTCTACCTGGGCTACAGAGAGAGCTCCAGGCCAGCCTGCAGAACGTCTTGAAATTTAAAAACAAAGGGCTTTGGATAAAGCTCAGATGTAGAATGCTTGCCTACCATGCACGAGGCTCAAGGTTCAATCCCAGCACCACAAGAAATAAAAGAAATGTCTTCTCAAATACTCACCTCGGTCGAAAATTAAAGGAGCGTTTGGCCCAATCAGCAGAGCCACAGCTCCAACTCCACCTGTAGGTCTGGCATTTCCTGTGGCATATATAGCAATATCACCTGCAACTACCAGAGCATACCGTCCTGAAAAATAAACGCAAAGTGATCAAAATTACAAAATCATGCATGTGAACTCAAAAGTCTTATATCTTCCCCAGAATATGCTTTTCCCATATTGGTAATAAAAAAAAAAAAGCAGCAGCATTCTATCTAAATTTTGAACAGATCATTTTTCCTATTATTGCTCCTAAAATAAACAATTCACATAAGCTGAAAGTCACAGTCATCTTTCTGAATAGTTTGGACTATTACAGCTAGTACTCGTTAACACACAGCACTGACAAAATAGCCACTGGAGAGCTGGGGATACTGTTCATTGCTAGAGACCCTGGGTTTCATCTGGAGCACCAAGCAGAAGAGGTAGCAGGTGCACACATCCTCAAGAAGAGCTATTCGTGTGTGTGTGTGTGTGTGTGTGTGTGTGTGTGTGTGTGTGTGTGTGTGTGTCTGTGTCTGTGCGTGCGTGTGCACTTGCTACTTGTCTGTCTGCTTATGTTTCTGTTTCAGAGTGCAGACATGGAACATACCATCCCAGGAGCTGGATTCAATCCAGTTCACAGCATTGAAGACTGCGGCTGTGCCTCCATAGCACGCATTGGTTGTATCTATGCCTTCTATATCTGTATTTCCAGACTCCTCAAACAGCTGCATCAAATTAGACTTCACTGATTTTGACTTGTCAATGATTGTCTCTGTTCCGACTTCTAGCCGCCCGATGCAATCATAGGACAGGCTATTTCTCTCCATCAGATTCTGAACCACAGTCAGGCAGAGAGAGTTGATGTCTTCTCGGTCCGTGCAGAAGCCCATCCTGGCCTGGCCCAGGCCGATGGTATACTTTCCAGCATCTACACCATCATATTTTTCCAACTCAGCTTGGTCAACGTATTGAGAAGGAAAGTAGATCTCAAGGGCAACAATTCCCACATCTTTTGGCCAGCAAGCTTCTGCATTCAACGGAAGTGACCCAGGCATGGTTAAAGAGCTGTACAAAGAAAAAAAGAAATATGGTTTTAGATGTTAGGTTGCCAACTTTTCAAGTTCAAGGCTGCAAAACAGATGGTGAGAACTCAAAATTCACCTGGATTACTGCAGTTTCTTTAAGTTTAGTACATTGTACTGGAGGCAGTCAGTTATAAATACGTAAGCAGCAGCTTCATGAATGGAATACTATTAGTTAGCTTGAATTATAACCTTTTAGAGAGGCTTCCGCCTTACTCAAAACTGGGTATTTTAAGACTTAAAACATGGTTTAGAGGCTGGGATACAGCTTGGTGGCAGAGCACTTGCCTAACATGTCAAGACTCTGGGTTCAACCCCTAGCACCATACATATACACGTACACACACAATTACCGGTGAACAACCCTTCCATAAGATTTTTCTATTATGATAAATAACTATGAAATAAAATGATGATTTAAAAGTAGGGCTGACAGGGGCTGGAGAGATGGCTTAGCAGTTAAGAGTGCTTGAAGCTCTTGCAGAGGCCCTGGGTTTCACTCCTGGCACCCACATCTTGTGGCTCACAACCTCCAGCAGCCCCAGTTCCACTGGACCTCTGCCCTGTGGCCTCCTCTGCCCTCCACTGGGACCTGCACTCCAGTGGTGCACGTAAACACAAATAGACACACACAACAACAAACAAAATCTTTTTTAAAGTATACGAATGGCCAAAGAGAATATTTATTTCTGACCACTCTCATAAAGTATCAACAAATCAGCCATTGTCTAGATTTACTTACCCAAACAACAACAAAAAGCTAGCCCTTCAGACCACTGTTGTCTACCCTGGGACTAGTCATTTAACCTAGGAGCCTCAATGCCTTTAAAAGGTTTATTCATCAAGAAATGAAAAATCAGTCCGGACATTTCCAACAGGGTGGGCGTGGAGGGCCTTGTTAATAAGGAAGTGGTTATAAACCTACTGGCTGGGCTGTGGGGACAAAAGGCAAAAGTCATTCATTCGTCAAACTGTATGAGACCACACTCCCAACAACCCAGTTCCCAAGCTGGGCATGTAATAACTGGGTAATGCTGCTCACGAGATGGGACTTTAGTTCTCCACCCGTCTAAACATGTAGTCTGCCAGGTAACTATCTTCTACAGAGCTTGACAACCTACTACTAAGCGGACGCTAAAAATGAAAAGTCAAATCCACATCACCTGTCCTCTGCCACTCTGAAAACTCTGCTTTAATATTAACAATTGCTACGGTGCATTAATTATAGAGACCATGGGGGGGGTATCTAAAGCAGAAAAGCTTGGTCCTTAGAACACGAAACACCTTTATAAAATGACCTTTATAGCACAAAAGTCATTAAGCTGTGGATATATTAAAACATAATAGCCAGGCATGGTGGCGCACACCTTTAATCACAGTACTTAGGAGGCAGAGGCAGGTGGATCTCTGAGTTCGAGGGCAGCTTGGTCTACAAAGTGAGTTCCAGGACAGCCAGGGCTGCTATACAGAGAAACTTTGTTTCCAAAAACCAAACCAAGCCAAACCAAACCAGAATGTAATAAATGAGCACCTGACATCCAAGTTAAAATTTTTCCTTTTTTGATAGGATCTTACTCTGTAGTCCAAACTGGTCTGAAATTCAAGGTGATCCTTTTGTTTCAATCTCTCAAGTGCTGGGATTATTGGCAAGCATAGCAACCATGCCTTGCTCCAGATTAAAGATCGGAAGGAATGCTAGTCAAATCTTCTATATGACAACACTCTCTTTCTCTCTCCTTTCTTTTTTAGGGGGTAAGGTTGGGAAATGGGGCTCACTAAGTGCAGCTTTAGCTGGCCTGGAACTCACTATACAAACCAAGTTGGCTTCAAACTCACAGAAAACCATCTGCAGCTGCCTCTGCCTCCCAAGTGCTGGGATCAAAGGCATGTGACACCATACCCAGCATTTTTTTTAACATTCACAGAAACAATTTGCTGGAACAGTCTTTACCTCTGGCAATCACACAGTCTGGGGGAACTGAATCTCTAAATTATGATATAATAATACCAGGGGTTATGATAAAAACCAAAAGGATAGCACCGAAGCCTTCTTACTCTTTTATAGTTCTTCAAAGGATGCTGTATCATAAATATCCTTTGTGGCACACGGGAGGTTCCATGGGAAATTACAACTCTTGATATAAAAAACTCAGAAATAGGGGTTGGGGATTTAGCTCAGTGGTAGAGTGCTTGCCTAGCAAGTGCAAGGCCCTGGGTTCGGTCCTCAGCTCCGGGGGGGGGGGGGGGGGAGAACCTCAGAAATGGCAGACACTGTATGGCAACATGAACCTGGCACTCAGCAGGCTGAGGCAGGAGGATTACCTAAGCCCAGGAGTTCAAGAACAGCTTGGGCAACATAGTGAGGTCCTGTTTCCAAAGAAATAAATAAAATGTCAAGCTCCAACTATGAAAACACTGGCAATCAATTTGTTTATTTACTTATTTATTTATTTTTACTTGCATGGCATTTGGAGAGATGGTCCTTGGTCGTGAGGATGGGGATGGAATTAGTACCCTAGTATTTCTGATTGTGAGCCTAGCCTCTATCAGCTGAGCCACCTCTCTGGCTCGGATTAGCACCCTTACAAGAAGACACCAGAGAGCTGGTTCGAGTCTGGTTCATGCATTCTGTATCTGTCACAACAGGAAGGAAGCCATCTCCAATCCACAGGAGAGCCTTAAAGAAGTGACCATGTACCTTGAGCTGTGCTCCAAAACTTTGCCAAAAAAAAAAAAAGTTAGGTTGTTTAACCCCTCCAGATTATGGTACTATTTTGATATGGTGCTACTTTGTAATGGTATCCAAGCAGATTAATAGACTTGGGTGACCTCAACTAAGTCCAATGCATTTGAATTTCTTCTGTCTTAGACTTTTGTATACCCCATTTTACCAAGTAAAGTGTATATACTACTCAATGGGAAAACAACAACTAAATGTAATTATTGGCCAATTATATCCCTTAAGCCGTAAATTACTGACGCTGGTTCAGTGTTAATTGCATTAAAAACAGTGTCATCAGCAACAGTGAGACACCGTATCACATTACAAGGGGTTCATTCCAGTGATAGCCCAGTAAGAAAGGGTAAAGAAGAAAGAAGTCCTTTCTAAAAAAATTTTTAGACAGGGTTTCTCTGTTTAGCCCCGGCTGTTCTGGAACTTGCTCTGTAGACCAGGCTAGCCTCGAACTTACAAGGATCTGTCTACCTCTGCCTCCTGAGTGCTGGAATTAAAGGTGTGCACCACCCCCGCACAGGAGGATAAAGAAATCCCTAGCTCCCTAGCTCCTAAATCTTCAGCTCCTTCTCTGTTCTCAGATCAAAAGGAACAGGACGAGAAAGGCGAGAAAGGCACTTGCAGGCTTACTGTCTTCATGTGGCACTACCATAGCAGCTCTCCATCAGTTCTATGATTGCCTAAAGTTGGTACCCACGTGACCACACGGAGGTTGAGAGGAAGACATAAAGGACTGCCCATTACTAGGCGCAGAGTCTAAAGTAAGTCCTTGGCATAACCCATAGCAAAAAGTTCAAAAATTAGCGTTAAGACAAAAAGACCAACGTGCAGGGCCCTGAATTCAATCTCCAGAACCTCAAAGAAAATGTAAGCAGAGAAGGGAGCCAGACCATATACTATGGCAGCATGTAGGTGACCAGTCTACAGACTCCGTTCTGAGGGCCCCACGGCTGAGGCAGTCAGAGTGACCCCTTCACTAGCCGCCTTTCCCTCAGGTTCCTTTCAGCTCTTTAAACGCTTGCAGCATTGGTAAAGACAGCTGGACTTCCCCTTGCCTTTGCCCACTGGCTTACAGTGCTTTTGGTAATAAAATGAACAAATACACAATCTCTGAACATTGCAATGTACTTTCCCACTAGCATTTTTAGAGAAGATTTGAGAATATGTTGCTCCTAAATACCAAAATCACCCTTCACAAAAGTGTAGGTTAGTTCAAACAGCCCACAAAGCATCAAGTTCATGACTCAGATTTTATATATTATAGTGTGTGTGTGTGTGAATGTTATCTAATTCGGTCAATATTATTCATTCTTGGAGACTTTCTAGTAGCTATGATGTTTCCAATGTGTTCTTGGCAAACAGATAACCAATTTGAAATACAACAGATCTAACTTGTGGTGGTGGTGGTGGTGGTGGTGGTGGTGGACTAACCAAGCAACCCAACAACACCCAGCTAAAGAGAATAAAATGAAGACATTGCTTGGTGGCACTTAGAAGAACAGAAAGCTGGTATAACTTCCAGCCTGAATGCTACTGTTGGGTTTCCTCGAAAATGCTGTGATGGACCAGACATAAACTGGTGGTAGGAGGGGCTAACCAACCAACTGGAACCTGGCTAAAGGTCAGAAACACTCGAATTATAGTGCTTTGGCTCGTTATCCTGTCTGAGAAAGAGATATTTTGGTTAATTCACTATTCCTAAAACATGCTTTTCTAAATAGAACTTTGAAAATCTAACAGTTAAAAACATTCTCTCATATGGCTTAAATTTTGGGTAATAAGGTAAATTATCTTTCACTGTATTCAACTTGCAATAAAAAAAAACTAAATAGAACAATGAAGAGTCTATATTTATAATAAGATACAAAAATGTTTCCTTTCAATCTTAACTTTATTTAAAAAGGAGGTCAAAGGTGCATGCCTACCACAAAGCCCTAATAAACTGAAAGTCTTCCCAGCCAGCACCTTCAGAAAAGGGTCTTCTGCTCTCCAAAGAGACCACACCCCTCTGGAGGACAAAGGAAGCTACGCGTCCTAACAAAGCCAGGCAAGAAATCTTGTTAACCCTTTCTAGACCTGCTAGGGCGTAAGACGCTCACTCCCAACCTCTGTAAACAGTGAAGGAGAGAAGGAGGGAGAGGAGGAGGAGGAAGAGGCGGAAAGCACAGCATGCTGGCGCTGACCAGGCAGTCCTGACCCAATCCTCAACCGCCCAGGGACAGGCATTAGCGTTGGTGCCTTGGGCTATCATGAGTCTCCTGGCTGAGCTCTCCAGGGCCACTCCCTGCCCTGTCCTACAGCAAGAACACCTGACAGTGTTTAGCTACTGCCAATTCTCAAGCTTTCCCTGTATTGATTAGGGTCAGCATCTTGTTCTCATACAAATGTGTGGCACTAAAATACCTGCAAATAATTGGGTTGCTGGTCTAAACACTGAAACTGCTGTCTATTCTCATACAACCTTAAGGACTCACCCAGGGCCCAGAGAGGTATCTTTTGAAACTGTCATTTAAAAAGCACTATAGGGGCAGAGTGTAAAGTCAAACTACTGAGATCTCGGCATTTGTGGGGCCAAGGCAGAAGAACGGAGCCAGTTCCTAAATAAGATCCTGCCCCAAACTAACAAATGGTAAATAAATAAATAGATGATGATAGATAGATAGATAGATAGATAGATAGATAAATAGAAGAAGCGTTGGCAGCCATGCCTATCTGTGATTATTTCAGATTAAGTTATATGGCTATATTTTTTTATTACCTATATTTTTCATGTTACAAGTAGACACTAACTTTTAAATACAAAATTAGAAAGTCTCCAGAATCTATAACATTAACTAATTTTTAAAGATAACATATAATCCTAAAAGTAGTGTTAGGAATATATGGCTTGAGGCATGGTGGTACATGCCTTAAATCCCAGCCCTTGGGAGGGAGAAGCAGGCGGATCTTCGAGTTTTCAGCCTGGTCTACATAGCAAGTTCCAGCCAGGTGACATAGTGAAAGATAGGAGTGGAGAGGGAAAGGAAAGATTATACGGCACACACAAACTGTCATTAGCTCTAGGATCAAAATTATACCCCTCCCATTAGAGAAAACCCCTTCCTTAAGACATGACTGGCGCCATACCTGTGTGAAGGACAGAGAACCGCAGTCTCCAGGTCGGTCACCGTTTCCTTCTTCAGGCACTACAAGTTTCAAATGAGAACTTCTTTTAAAGTCATAAAGCACCACACAAATCAATGACTTCAAAGAGTTAAAACAAGGATTTCCTTATCTAATTATATTATGCAAAACCAATGCAACACTGCTTAGAAAAACACGGTACTGAAGGTTTATGAACAACTTGCCCTTGATCATGGCAACAGGTACAGCTCTGCTGAGCAACCAACATCACATCACCATTCAGACTGTGAACTATGATGCTGGGAGTCATGTCTTCTCATTAAACACGGTTTCCCGAGAACTGGGATGAAGATGTGGAAGTAAATGCTCCTGGGCTAGTAAGCTTCTAGAATAAAGAGACCTATAGTTTCCAGGTCTAAAAGAGTTTACTCTGCACTAAAAGAGTTTTAGCAATAATTTGTGCCTCTTTGAATCTCAATGTCCTCACTTGTAAAATAAAGTTCTACCCCCACCTCACTTCCCAGCTCACTCTGAAGGGCTGTTGAGATGAAATGTGGGAAATGCTTGGTAAGATCAGGCACTAATACTCCCCCATGGGAGGCAAAGCTCTGAAACATGGAGCTACAAATGCAGCCCCAGAATAAATAAGCCTTTAGTTTTTAAAAAAGGACATTGCTACATTGTGTGTGTGTGGGGGGAGGGGTGTTTGATTACAATATTATACATACACTTTCAGAAAATAGCTGATCTTTTATTCTTGATTGTCTCAAATTACACTGTGTTCTCTGTAAATTAAGCAGGCCACGTCAAGACCATTTCTTAGTAGGGTGGAAACGCCACTCCTTCCCCATGTTGAGATACAGTAACTTAGTAGCTTCTGGGAGCCAGAACTGTAATTTGTATCAGAGGTATTTCCCGGGAAATGCTACCACACACCTTTCCTACTTGTTTATTTTTTGCAGTGCTGGGATCAAACTGGTGCTAGTCAAATACGGGCCACACCCTCGGTCCTCTTTCTATTTTGATTAAACTGGGGAGAAAAAGCAGGTGGAGGGTGGAGAAAGACACACAAAGAGAACCTGAGCACCTTAACGCAAAGAAGAAATAGAGGGCTGTGTGCTTATTACAGATGACATAACGTCCATATGATCTCCGAAAGAGAGAAAGGAGTGGGAGATGGCATCTGGGAGAAAAACCTATCAGAGTGGCTTAGCTTTCCATTCTATTCTACAGTTGCTGGGAGGGTGCAGTTCTGCATCTTTTAATCTGAAAAACTTGAAACCCAAGCGCACCAAAGTCCAATTTTTTGAATGCTGACATGATACTGTATGTAGAAAACTCACCTGAACTCACATGACATGTCAGTCAAAATGCACGCAACACTACAAATACTGTATCTTCAGAGTGAAACGTTATTTTCACCTTTAGACTTCAGTCTTATCTACAAAAATCAATCTCTCCCTTCCTTCCTTACACACACACACACACACACACACACACACACACACACAGTTTCAAAACACGAAGCACGCACTTCCAGACCCAAGCATTTCTGATAAAGGACACACAGCCTATAGTGCCAAAGTCTAAAAAAAGTTATCAGACTATTACATCCCTTCAGAGCAAATGATACGAGGAGTTAACATGGATCAAGAGATAGTTAAAGAACTGCAAGCAGCCACAACACAACAAAGGCTTGGAGACTCACAAGCCACAATACAGGCATTCTGAATTTGGCCAAGACTAATAAGACTTGCTGCATTTACTCAACAGGATTTCTCCTTTTAGCTCACTCCCCAGCCTTGATTTACACAAGCACTCAGATAAACTAATCTAGTACACACTGGTACCTGACTAACTGGAAGCAGCTATTTGCTGATCTCTTGCAGTGTTACTGGAGAGAAAACCAGGCTATTCAGAATGTTCATCTTTCTTTAGGAACATACAAGAAAAAACTGTTAGAAAAGTATTTACCCTCATCTGTACACTTGTATCTAGATCTCCGAGTAAAACACACACAGCCCCGACTCTCCCAGAACTCTCGGTCTGCCAATTAGAGATTCTATTCACATTTATTTACTCTGTGTGTGTGTGTGTGTTCATGTGCCACGGCATGTGTGTGAGAGTCCGCAGACAACTTGAGAGTCAGAGGATAACTTGCCATAATGGCTTCTTTCCTTCTACCTCCACGTCCTGGGGACTGACTCAGGTCATTAAGACTTGGTGGCAAGTGCCCCACTTGCTGAAATATCATATGGGGTGGAGGTTGGGAGCCTCTATTCTTCCTTCAAGGCTCTCTTCTAAGCTATCTTTTCTAGAAAACTTTCCTAAATAAGTTACAGAACTGTCTAATCAAGGACCTTTATTCCTATACAGATGCATCATTCACTCTCAAGTCTGCAGAGCCTACTCTCCTGGAATATTAGTTATGAGGAGTCTTTGTATCCACATTGGACAGTATACTTTGATTCTTTCTGTTTGGTTGGTTTGAAACAGGGTCTGTCTACGTAGCCTAGCTGTCCTGGAACTCACTATGTAGACTAGGCTGGCCTCGAACTTGGAGAGATCCAGATTCTCTTGGATCTGCCTCACCCAGTACTGAAATTAAATTAAAGGTATGCACCATGCCCAGCTTATTTGATTCTTTTGACGGTTGGTAGAGACTTTAGAGTAAAGAGCACCTGAAGACTGGCTAACTTTGGAGCTATTAACAACAGCTCCATTTTCTTTTTTTCTTTTCTTTCTTTCTTTCTTTTTTTTTTTTTTTTTTAAAGATTCAAGTACTAAGCTTATAGAGCCAAAAAATGTCTAGGAGTTTAAAGAAGTTGGCTCTCTACCAGTACTGTTTGAAGCAAAGGGTGGGTTGAATCATTCCCAGATCCGAATCTGAATAAAGTAAGGAGCCCAGACAGAACCAGAAAAGAACACTTGCCAGTCTTCTGCTCATCATCACACCAACCAACACATACCCACAAACCCTGCAAAAAGAGTCAGCTTTGAAAGGTTACTTTCTCTTTTTTGCTCAGTTGACAGACATTAAGGGAACATTAGCAAGTGCCAAGCATTAGGCTAAACAGACTAAGGCCAGTGCTAGCATGAAGCCACTAATTAGGCAACATGTTTCTCAACTTTTTTCATCTAAAAGTGACACAGCTGTCTACTATATGGCTTTCTAAGACCCAAATCAAGTGGCAGGGTTATGTCCCCTTTCTAAATGAAACTATCATCACGTTTGACCTCTTTCGCTTACATAAAAGTAAAACTGTGTAGATTCTGATACAGGGTTCATCATTTCCTTCAACCACACCTCCAGTTTGGGTGGATAATGAAAGGTCCAGCCAGGTAGTAAATCATTCTAGAAGACCCAGAAAACCCATGTTCCATCAATGTCTTGGGTTTTGTATTTCTTCTGAAAACAATGTATCTGAAATCTCAGTTTGAAAAAAAAAAAATCCTCAAAAATAAGTCCATCAGATGATAAGCAATCAGAAGGCCCAGATGACATGCACTTCAATGACTTCAACTATAAGTCTTTATACTCCCTCCTCCCCAGTGTCAGACAAGCCTTCTGAGAACTGGAATTTCTAAAGACACCAGAACTGCACTAAAAGGAAAATCTGCTAATTTAGGAGAGGAATACCCACAAAGGTGAGCTACAAAGAAAAGGCAGTCTCTCTCCTTCTTGTCATGAGACAGGCTCCTTGCTCTTCATCTCCATGCAAAAAAATGGCTGAAACTTAAAAGTCTGATCAAAGAACATAAACGGTTTAGAAGTCCCAAGCTGCAAAGAATCACTTGTGGATACCCGCGGAGGACTTTCAGTCTGTCTACAATCTGGTGGAATCTAGAGTACAATAAAAATTGAAACCGCAGCCAAGCGTTGGTAGCGCACACCTTTAATCCCGAGTGGGAGGCAGAGCCAGGAGGATCTCTGTGAGTTCGAGGCCGGCCTGGTCGACAGAGTGAGATCCAGGACAGGCACCAAAACTACACGGAGAAACCCTGTCTCCAGGAAAAAAAAAAAAAAAAAAATTGAAACCACAGCTTAGAAGGAAAAACCTGTAACTATGAGTAGTCTAGTATGTTGATTAGCATGCCATTGCTTCTCATGAATCATCCCTAAAATACAGCAAATGTTAGTAGCCATCAGAACGCAGAACCATCTCACTCCGGGGTAAGCCAGATCACCAGCATAGGTGGGGAGTTAAAGGCAGCCAGAGATGGCCCAAGGCCAAGGCCACAGGGGCAAGCTTGGCAAGTAGGGCAACCTCCACCACCTACTCCCCAATTCCTTCCTCCAGAATGTTGCAAAGCAATTCTTTCTCTATCAGTGATCAAAGAAGGTCACGTTTTCAAAGATTCCCATACACTTGGCTTTGAAATTTCCTTGACTTAACCCAGTCTACGTGTGTGACTGTTCTGTGGGTGTAAGGACATCACAAGTTAAGGCTGGTGGTCAACAGTAGGTCCTGGAGATATTAGCAGGCGGAGAGAGGAAGAAGGGGGAGGAAGGAGAGAGGAGGGAATAGGGGCTCGAGATCACTAATGATTTTAAGCAAACCACATACCAAAGGTGTCCAGAGCATCAGTCCTTGGCTAGGTCTAAATCACAGTTGTGATTTCTTGCCCCTGAACTGGGGAAAAGTAACACTCCCCACTTCCTCTCATCAATGCTGTATGTGGAGGCAGGACACACCCCCTGCCGACCTACTAGCTTCCACCTGAGCCTGAGCTTCCCCATCCCTTTGGGGTCCACCATGACCCGGAGGAACGCTCTGACAGCCCGGCTCCCTTCTCCTCCCCTGCTGACACCCCCACTTCGGTGGTCACAGCAACCTCAGAGGCGTCTCCGACTTCTGACTATGTCATCAGAACACCGGGCCCTCCAACGCCCTTTGCCTTCTCGGCGCCCCGCCTGCCCACAGGGGTGTCCGGAGCCGCCCCCCACCCCTTCTCCGCCCCGCAGCGGCCCCGGGCTCCCCAGCCCGCGAGCTCCCGCACAAGCCCACTCCGGCGTCCCCTCCTCGGGGACCGGGTCCACGCCTTCACCCTGACCGGAGCGCAGTGCCTTCCGGCCTAGTCAAGGACACCGCCTCCTCCCCGCATACGCCGCCCGCGGCACCTCGGCCGTCGGCCGTCCCGCCCCGCGCGGGGCACTCACCCCAACGCCACCGGACCCTGGACGCAGAAAGGAGACTCCACCGAGGACAGTGCACCGTGCCTCCCGCCCTCAGCAGCTTTATAGCCACCGACCCACCCGACTCCCGCAAGGCCGGGAGGCGGCAGGGGGGGGCGGGACAGCGGCGACCGCAGCCAATCACGGCCCTCAGAGCCGCTCGGCAGCGCCCGCCCCTCGACCCGCTTTCTGCCAATGGGAAGGAAACGAGAGGCGGCGACTCGCTGGGGTTTTCCCTCGCGGCTGGAAGGGCGGGGGAAGGGGCGGGGACAAAGTCGGAGGACCGGGGAAGTGGGGTGAGAGGGTGACGTAGGGTGGCCCGAGAACGTGCCTGCCAATGGCGGGACGGCGAGAGACGGCGAGAGCCAACGGGAGCGGAGTGAGAGGTTCTCTGGCCAATGGGCGGCCAGTGAGAGGAGACAGGGACCAATGGCGACGCCGCGTCCCACCGCTGGGGAGAGATGGTCAAGTGTGGGAGGCGAGTTGGTCCCTGCTTGGGAGGCTGTCAGGTTGCCTAGCAACCACAGCCCAGGCTTCACCTGGAAAATATTTGAAATACTTGATTTGAATTCAATCTTGACGTTTTCTAGTTTCCAGAGCAGTAAAGTGCGCCTCCATCACAAGTTATTGCACACTCCTTCACCCAGATTTTCTAAATTTGTAAGTATTTCTAAATACCCATTTTAAAACTACCTTGGCTCTTAAAGAAATTGCTGTTGAGACAGCTCTTCCTCAGTAAACTTTAAATACGATAGTTTAGGGAGTAGGCGTCAGTGAGGATGATGCGGATCTTGCCAAGAAGGGAAGTAGATCTAGTTGAGTGACTTTTTTTGAGGGGGACAGGGAGAGGGCAGGCACCTGGCCCACCGCTCACCGTATCTTCCGACCTAACTCTGGAAGCTACCAAATGGAACATTTTTTTTTCAATGATGGAAAGGGGTATCATAATTCTCAGCATAGTGAATCGCAGGATAAGGACTGACTCAGTCTCCCAGAAAACAGGAGAAGTTCAAATACTAAGAATGCTCATTGAGAGAATCTGAAGGATGACAATTACTGCCTTTGAATAGACAGGACGTACTTGAAATAACTTGTCGACCTGAAATCCAATACTGTGTACAATGAATATACACCATAAAATATTTTTAAAAACAACATAAGAATAGATTCTAGTCTACTCAAATAGAGAAACTGTAAAACTTAGCTTTGGTGAAGAATAAGGAATAAGGAAGGTTCGGAATTGTATGAGTAATTCTTCCTATCTCAATTCCATTTCTCACCCAAGAACCATTGATAAGGGCCATTGATAATTCCATGTTTTATACCACTACTATGCTATGTGAAGTTTATTGTACACTCCAGATGCAGACTCTCTAAGCAAAACAGCTCTTGCTCCAAAGGGAATAAGAGGTGGGTTGTTTTTGTTTTGTTTTGTTTTGTTTCTGAGCTAAATATGAGTAACCATGGCTGGGAACATGGGTTTGTGTTTTCCTGAGTGACATGTTCCATCACAGAAGAAGCCACATGAACTGTTATAGCTTTTGAGCAAAAACAGTGAATGCAGTCACCAAATACATGGTGGGAACGGCAGGTGGGTAGGTTAGAGCAGAGCAGGAAAAAGTCTGCTATAAGGCTTCAGGTACTGTGTGATGACATTCTGCATTTGGGTTGGTGGAAAGTAGTTACCTGCTTTGTTAATACATGCTGAAGTTTTTTTGTTTGTTTGTTTTGTTTTTCTCTAGACAGGGTCTCTGTGTAGCCCTGGCTGTCCTGGAACTCACTTTATAGACCAGGTTGGGCTTGAACTGACAGAGATCCACTTTGTCTCTGCCTTCCAAGTGCTGGAATTAAAGGTCTGCACCACCACAGCCCTGCCTCATGCAGAAGGTTTTTTTGTTGTTGTTTGTTTTTGTTTTTCGAGACAGGGTTTCACTGTGTTGTTTTGGTGCCTGTTCTGGAGCTTGCTCTATAGACCAGGCTGGCCTCGAACTCATGGAGATCTGCCTGGCTCTGCCTCCCGAGTGCTGGGGTTAAAGGCGTGCGTCACTGCTGCCTTACCTGATAGTCATCAGGTCAGAGACACAGAGGTGGGTGATGAGTGGCTATAAAAGGGGCTAAATTTAGCTTAAGATCATTTTGGCAACATTTCAAGTACCCATAAAGAACAACATTCTAATCAGCCAGTCTACAAGATCTTCAACTGTAGCTCTTTCAAGAAACTCGATTTCACGTGACCTAGTAACACATACTCAACAGTGAAGTATCAAAATATGTTGGATATGGAACCACTGTGGAGTGGTGGCATAAGTTACTTGGAGAGCAAGGGCCATTCAACAACTGCTATGACTCCATCATATTGCTCTTGTTATCCATTTTATCCCAGGATAAACCTACGTGAAGTTACTAGATGATAAACAGAAAGAGAAAGTCATTGTTTGGTTGTGATAAACAGCATTTTGGGTTGGGGTGGGGAGGTAAATTCCTGGTATATTGGAATGTTTTGAAAGGCAGGAAGGGTCAACACAAGATAGAAGAGCTTTGTCCTTGAGAAGGGATTGCAAATAATTCCAAGTCCCGGAGGGTACAGTTGGAAATGATTGGCCAGATACTCATGAGGATCAATGTCTCACACAAAGCGAAATTCCTACCAGGGACACACTGCCTTTTTGACTGAATTAGTTTTCAGTTTAACAAAGTGATCAACGGGGCAGTGGTGGTGCACACCTTTTATCCCAGCGCTTAAGAGGCAGAGGCAGGAGGATCTCTGTGAGTTTGAGGCCAGCCTGGTCTACAGAGTAAGTTTTAGGACAGTCAGGGCTACACAGAGAAACCCTGTCTCGAAAAAACCAAAACAAACACAAAAACAAAGTGGTCATGGTAATTATTACAAAGTTGAGCAATGGACAACCAAATAGTTTAGTGATTAAGTGGGTAGCATCTTCATTGAATTAAAAAAACCACACTCTAAGATTTTAGTATTGTAAGCTTACACTGGACTAAAAATATATCAAGTGATATCCACTAGTGATGGCAAGGTATACATGTATTTATTATGTAAAAGACTTCAAGTTTTCTGAGCACAATTTTTGAGAAAGCACAGTCTGGTCAATATCCTGGTTAAGACTTGTTAACATGTATGCTCTATTAAAATGTTTTAAAACTCGGTGGTAAACATTGTTAGTCAAACACTTTAGATGCCATTCATCAAAAGAAGTACAATCTGTTGCAGTGCCCTACCTTGGAAGGAAAGTGAAGCTTGCTAAGGAAAGTGAAGCTTGCTAAGGAGCCGGAAGATAGAATGATAGTGTTCAGTATTAAAAAGTCACCCATTGAGCAAACATTTACTTTTTCCTTGTTCTGTGGCAGGAACTACATGAGACCTATGCTGTTAATAAGGCAAGCATTAACTACATGAGATGTGCTGTAAAAGTCATTCCAGATGCTAACCAGATCTTGAAAACCTGGTACACCTGGTATACACACACACACACACACACACACACACACACACACACACACACACACCCCACACGGGGAGGGGGGGTGATGGTTAAATAAATCATTTAAATATATTTAAATAAATCATTTAAAATTGGTTATATATTATAATGATGACATTTTGGTCACCTTGGGTTATATTATTGATTAATTTTGTTTCTTTTTAATTTTTTTTTTGTTTTTGTTTTGTTTTGTTTTGTTTTTTTCGAGACAGGGTTTCTCTGTGTAGCTTTGCGCCGTTCCTGGATCTCGCTCTGTAGACCAGGCTGGCCTCGAACTCACAAAGATCCGCCTGCCTCTGCCTCCCGAGTGCTAGGATTAAAGGCGCCACCACCGCCCGGCTCTTTTTAATTTTTTAACGTGGTTACCAGAAACTGTAAAATTATAGTGGCAGCTTCCATTTGTGGCTCCCAAGTGTTCCAAACAACAGGAAATAAGTACGTAGTCTAGGGTGGAAGTTGGGGGGAAAGAGAAAACAGAGCAAGGCCTGGCTTTCATAAACACAAAGGCAAAAGGTAAACTCTTTTCTGTAAGAAGCCTGAACTTTTATATTTTTGGTTGTGAGCCTAGCCTTTAACGGCTGAGCCATCTCTCCAGCCGGGCGGTGGTGGCGCACGCCTTTAATCCCAGCACTCGGGAGGCAGAGCCAGGCGGATCTCTGTGAGTTCGAGGCCAGCCTGGTCTCCAAAGCGAGTTCCAGAACAGGCACCAAAAGTACACAGAGAAACCCTGTCTCGAAAAACCAAAAAAAAAAAGAAGCCTGAACTTTATACTGTCTGCCTCAGATAATGTGCAGGAGAGAGTAAAGCGGGAAGAAACTTCAGGCTCACCAGTTATTTGTCTCCCCTGGTTTGCACAGCCTTGTTTAAGCATGTAGTCAGGAGCCGGGCAGGCGGTGGTGGCGCACGCCTTTAATCCCAGCACTCGGGAGGCAGAGCCAGGCAGATCTCTGTGAGTTCCAGGAAAGGCACAAAGCTACACAGAGAAACCCTGTCTTGGGGGCGGGGGGGGGGGGGGGGGGGGGGGGGGGGGGGGGATGTAGTCAGTTAAATGTTTAATTCCACATTAGGTCTCTTTCTTCTCGAGCCTCTCCTTGGTAAGATGACTTCTAGGTTTTGTTTTTTTTTGTTTGTTTGTTTTGTTTTGTTTTTTTTTTTTTTTTTTGGTTTTTCGAGACAGGGTTTCTCTGTGTAGCTTTGCGCCTTTCCTGGATCTCGCTCTGTAGACCAGGCTGGCCTCGAACTCACAAAGATCCGCCTGGCTCTGCCTCCCGAGTGCTGGGATTAAAGGCGTGCGCCACCACCGCCCAGCTGACTTCTAGGTTTTATGGAGCTTTCTGATTGATGTTTGTTTTATCTGCAGAGGGGCTCATTCTCACTTTCGGGTTTGTGTATTGGCTCTTTGTCCTAATGTGTGGAATACTAAGACTCACCACAACTATCATTTGCTGCCCTACCCAGTAATCCTACTCAGCATCCCCACCACGGGGATCAGGCATGTCACGGGGATCAGGCACACATGCTCTCAGTCTCCTTTACATCAACCCCCCTCAATCTCACCAAGTAGAATTTCAGCTCAGACTTTCCTAAGGAGCTTCTGGAGTCAGTCCTTCCACATCA